GGATACGATGCTGCACGGCATATTGTGACATTTTATGGGAGATGGTTTAGCAAAGGTGATCTGAATATTTCATTTGTAAGTGACTGGATTGCCACAGAACAAAAAAAAAAGGCCTTTGTTACTCTTTTTTTCATCAGTGAAAGAGGGAGGTCTGACTTTTCATTCCTTTAGAAATTATCCGGTATAAAATCTAGACTATGAATATTAAAAGTGAAAGATCACACCCCGGACACAGGGAAAGCATGTGTTCATAAAAAAACTGCCTGAGTGCAATGTGGTCCTCATTCGGAAGGGGTTTCCACCCCACCACTCCGCTGCTCGCAGGATTTACCACCAGCTCCTCTCTGCCTTCATCTATCAAACGTGGTCTGTAACTGTTCTCCAGAAATATCACCCGTATGTGGAATACAACAGTAACAAACGTTTTTATTGCAACAGGTTCGGCAGCATGGAGGGACATCCACGGTAAGTAACTCTTATTTCTTGTAGAGTTTGCGATGCTTGAAAATCCTGTTTCTTCCCTTCAGACTGGAAGAATTAAAACTGATGTATCCCTGCTGAATATTGCTACCAAAAAAAAAAAAAAAAAAAGAAAAAAGACTATGTCAGCATGCGAAGGCTCTTGGGGAGTCGGCTTGTGGTACCATGTCATAACCCTGGCTGGCGTTAAAAGCAGAGGTGCAGTCCCCTGAGGGTTTATTGCAGGGCTGTACAGGTGTCCTCCTGCTCTTCTGCACTCCGAAGCAATTAGCAGCGTTCCCATTGTGGCTCGGCGGGGCTGTACAGCGCCTCCCCGCGCAGAGCCCGGGCGGATCACGTTGTGTCCCGGCACCTCATAACCTTGGCTACTCCCCCTCTTTTCTCCAGACGGGATTCAAAGCAGAGTTGTGCCTGCGATCTCATGTTAACCTCGTTTGGCATAGCCTGGTGAATGAGTGGAAGAGGCGGCAGCTCTGGAGGCTGTCAGCGCTGGCCAGCCGGGTCAGCCCACGCTGCAGCCGGGTCGTGCGGGGCGGTAGCGCTGGTCCTCTCGTACTAGGTCTCTCCGGGCAAGGGAGATTCAAACGGGGATTTAAATGATGTGAAGGCACGGAGGGGAATGGGTATGAGCTTAGGATGGCAACCTTTTGCTACAGGGGCTTTCGCATCCCCGATGGTCCCGCACGAGCTGCGCTGGGGGGACCGGGGGTCGGGCAGCAGGGCAGTGTGTAGCGGGAAATGCTGTTGAACCTTTCTGGCTGCAGTAGGGAGCTAAGTGCATTACTCCTGGTGCTTTAGACTGAGACCGGCTTGTCTCTCAAAGAGGAAAAGAAAGCCTGCGGTGTTTGGAGATTCATGAGGTATACATTGCCCTCCCTGCTTCTGCCAGTCCCGCTCTGACCGGGAGCATGTAGAGGAGCGGAGCTATGTTTGTTTGCGTTTCTCCCTGTTTCCTCTCCCTGCTTGCTGATAAATAATCTCTTTCACTGCTTCTTCCAGGCTTCTCCTTCTCTTTTTGCCTTACGTTGAGATATTGGTTTTCGAGCTCTTTAAATACGAACGAAAGAATCGCCTCCAGCGTTGCAGTTTTAATTGTGTTCCATAGGTAACTTTCCTCCCCCCGTAGCTCAGCCCTGCGCCATGTAGATGCCCTTGGCATTTTATTCCAGGGCCGGCCCTAAATGTATGGATTACTTGTTTTCTGCCAACGTACATTTAGCATACTGATTATGAACCAGAATACAAAAAGCCTGATAGATCAAAAGCATTTTGTATGGGCAGTTGAACAGGAGGTGAATATATAACGCTTTTGTTCATCAATAACTCTTTGGCTTTGACCTGTCTGAGCAAGTCGTGCAATAAGGTGAAACGCAGGTCACAGCGTCTAACAAATATGAAAATGTGTAGTATTAAGGAGAGCGGGGAGCTGCTGCTCCCCCAGCCCCATCGCTTCTCCCCGGGCAGCCCTCGGCGGGCTTGTCCGCTCCCGGGGGCTGCCCCAAACGCACGCTCGGTTTGGGGGGGTGGGGGTGGTTTACCCTGCCAGTTCAGCCGGGTGGTTAATAACCCTCCCGGGGGGGAGGTATCCCCCCTCCCCTCAGAGAAAGGAGGAGAAAGGGGGGCGAGCCACTTAAAATAGTTGGGTGGAGATTTAAATAATCCGGGGGGGGGGGGGGAAAGAAGGATATAGGAGAAAAAAAT